TTCACACGAGAGCGAGGCTTTGCCATAGTGACGTCATTCTGGCAATCCCATAATTATCGGCGGATTTGGCACGCACGAAGAGAACTCAACATCGAACTTTACGAAGACGAACATGGCGTTTGGCAAAGTCGAACATTTTGTTTTGTTGACGTGACAAAGTCCGCTGTTGATAACTGTAATGTCGGATGTTGAGTCAATAGTGCGATGTTGACAACTGTGCAGTTGGATGTTGAGTTACAAATAGTCAACTAAAGTCCGATGTTGAGCCAATGGTCCGCTGTTGATAACTGTAATGTCGGATGTTGAGTCAATAGTTCGATGTTGACAACTGTAAAGTCCGTTGTTGATAACAACAAAGTTCTATGTTGACTATAAAGTCCGATGTTGACAACGGTAAAGTTGGATGTTGAGTTACAAGTTTGCTTTTTGGCGGAGATGGTACACCATATTCCTAGGCCTTCTCGGATAACTCATTTTGGTTACGTCAGTTACATAACCGAGGCGAATGACCAGGAGACTCAAAACCTTTCCCAGACCACGTGACTCGAAACGCATCAGCCGCGCGCAATAATGAGGCCTAGCGATTAGGAAATCTCGTTCCAAGGCATCTTAAGTGTTTGGTTGAAAAACGGAAAACGCGACTGCGAGCGATCAAGGAGTATCACGCAATGGACCATGGGAGCGTTTTGCATTGACGCAAAGGATGCTAGCAGTTCATTGACCACTGAAAAGGGTGTTAATGTAATACAAAGGGTTTTGATAGAGAGGCTTTCCTCACTCCTGTGATCAAAGGAACCTTCTCAGTGCGTGGGTTGACAAAATACAGTGAGTTGTAAGAAACTATTCACCCTAAGCGTCCTCTTTTCTCCTCTCGTCCCAACTTTCTCAACAAACTCGCGCGGAAACGCTTGCTATGTAGGCCGATTACCGGTCGTTTCGATTCAAGTTTATTCTGTTGAGGTGTAAAAATTTTTACGTACTTGGCTTAAAGAAAGAAGAATACTCATCCCCAACGTTTTCCTTGTTCTCGCACAAACTATACTTGTAGTGGTTGAAATTTTAGTGCAATCTCACTGCTTGAGTTTGCATCGAAAAGACTTTGAATCTCGGGCATCCAACGATGGTTTCCTCCTAAATACATTGAAAACACTTTTCAGGTTATCCAAAGTACTTTCAGATGAATAGAAATGCATTCTAAGCGGGGCTATAAAATTTGTATCTGTTCGGTCATACTAGGGGAACTTTAGTCTTTTCGAAATTACAAGGGCTTCTGTATTATTTCCTCGAAAATTTTAGCTGCAATTTAACGTTTTACGAAAGTGAAAATTTTTCTTATTCCTCTCCCCATCATATTTTTGATCCGAAAATTTCAGGTTTCTTTTTTCTACGAAAATTGGCCTAACAAGGGAAGTAAAATGTGAGAAATTAAACTTCCAAAAACCTTAGAGGATACGCTTCGAAAATTGTACTTGAATGGAACGGTCATCTAGAAATTTCTAGCCGTCCTTAAGCAATAGAAAATTCTAGGCAATATTTACTTCTCCGAACAGATAATTCACAGAAAACAGTCGTTGGGTACCCTTGTTTGAATTGTATCGAAACGACCGGTCTCCCGTAGGCCATATTCACCCAAACCACACCCTAGTGTCATTGTACATGTGCTTTGTGGAGTGGAAGAAGGGAAAAATCTTTTGTCAGTACCAAAAAAGTAAGGATTGAGCAGTTTTTGCTATCAGTTTATTCACTTTGATTTATACCTTTTACATGGAATTTAACATTTGCGTTGTTCTACTTTCGTTTCGGTACTGTTTGTTCCGTTCCGTTCAACGTGAATTTCTTCGTGAAGTTATCCAAAGGCGTATACCATGCTGTCTGAACCCGCCATCCCGCTTCCTCCATCAACAAGATCCCGACTGGCTGAGAAAAAATACAAATAATTTATACAAATAGCAAGCGAGCGATGGGAGAGTTGCGAGAATTCACGCGAGAGCCATAAGCGAAAGGAGACGAGTGCTTACTCGCGTATTCTCTCGCGTCCCACTTCGTTCGCCATAATAGCCACAGTATAGCTCCCTTAACTGAGTAAAAGTCGTTGAATTCTTGTCACATCAGTTTCGACAAGTTTTTTTCTTCACTAGCGGATCTCAAAACACCAAGTGATAAATTTCCAGAAGTTTCTTGCCGGAAAAACGCAAGAAGTATTTTAAATTTTTCTTTTCTGCAAACTTGCCCAATTTACCCACTCCCAACAGAATTTTCGCAATTGTAGTGCAGGGTGGGTCGTTGGAATAATTTTGAGCATGGCGGGTTTGGGAGTAGTTTGATGATGAATTAAAGGTCAGCGTATATGGAGAACTTTAATGATTATATTAGCATTTTAAGAAGCTTACTTATGGCATAAACAGCGTTAGTGAAGTTTTTTCCTGCACAAAACCTAGTGGAACATCCGCAATCGTTGTAGCACTGGTCAGCACACTGTCCCCGTCGCGCATGTCCTTCCAAAAAGAACGGGGAATCGTCGGTTCCACTCCAACATTCACCTAAATAAAGAAATGATAGCGGAGCTCTCGCGCGCGCAAACCGCGCGCAGCGGAGCACCATGGGTAAGAAAATTTGGTTACCCTTGCATCCAAGAAATTTTGGTTCTGAGAAAGGGTAGGCGTTACTGGTAAATCGTCCGTACGTACGTCCACCCCTTCATGTAAGCCAGGGTGAGATTTTGCATTTCAAGCACCCGCGCAAAACAACGACAAAGAAATGTACATAAAAAGTGTACTGCACGTGCAAAATTGTTTTTTTCTCTAATTAGACCTGCTGATTTTTTTGGCTGTTTTTGTTGCCGTCGCCGCTTAGCATTACACTATTTTATATTTTGTTTGAGTAAACTAAAGATATTAACGAGAGCATCGCTTTTAGCTCTGGAAATCTATACATAAGGATTAAGTATTCGTAAGTAAATATTCGTCATTGCAGTTCTTTTTTTTCGATCACCGATACATATCTGTTGTAACTGGGAGCTTCGTAAGACTTTGGTTAGTTAGAAAGTTGAAATTTAAGTGTGGCTTCCCATTTTTGCGGGCGACAAGAGGAGCCCGCAATCCTAATCTCCAGGTTGTTACTACGCATGCGTCGCATGTATGTAGCCAGTATTCTTTTGGACGTCCACTAAGAATGAATGGATTGCACAAAACGCAATTTGACCACGCGCGTTTCGACCTTCTACCCCTCGTACTCTGATCACGCGTGTTTTGCCTTTCTTACAAGTGAAACTTACGCAAAGCACAGCAATGGAGCAAAAGCGTTTAGACCTTCGATCGTTCTCGCCTGCATCCCCTAACCTTTGGTTATTACTAGTTTACTGCTTAATTGCGGGCGATAAGAAGAGCCCGCAATCCTAATCTCCGGGTGGCTATTACGCATGCACAGTACGTATAGCCAGTTTCGTTTAGACTTCCACTAAGGATGAATGCAATGCACAGAGGGCAATCTGATCACATTTTGATCACACGCGTTTGGACCTTCTATCACTCGTAATTTGATCATGCGTGTTTTGGCCATCTATCACGTGAACTTACGCAAAGTACAGCCGCGTTGGAATAAAAGCGTTTTGACCTTCGAGCGTTGTCGCCCTCACCCCGTAAGCTTATGTTATTACTAGTTCAATAAAATATTCTCACCCCAGTACTGAATCCCAAAGATTCTCCATCCTTTTTTCTGCGCTTGTTGTGCACAGCGGCACACGAAACTCGGGAGATGCTCATACCAGTTTTTCCAGTCAATAAGTTGACCGCTGAAGACTGGGTTTTGAATCTGCTCATCTCTGTCGGTTAGAATATACGACGGAAGTAGGCGTGGCTGGTCTGTTTTATCCTTGAAACATCCAATCCTCTCAAAGCTGACGCTGCAAAGATCTAAATATTCGCACGCCGAATCAGAAAACATTTCGAAGCTTGTTTCTTAACTTATCAGTTGATTAAAGGACAAAGATATTGATTTATTCATTTATTTAATAGCCAACAACCGGTTGTTTATCCAACCTCGTTCCCAGGGTCCTCTCCTACTCGTTACCCGGAGCGAGAGAGGGGAACTGTAGGCGAGGATCCTGGAACCGAGGTTGTTATTTATCAGACTCCGCATGATTCCTGACCCCTCCCCCTATATCAATAACGAGCGGGCTGATCTAGCAATAGAACGGGAACGTCATTTGACGACGGGAAAGCGCGCGGAAAGGACTGAACTCGACTTCCGGTACCCAATTTGCCGCTCTGCCATTGGCCAAGCCAGTGGTTTGATTTGCGCGAGCAGTCGTCAACTGACTTTCTCTCTCTGTTGCTAAAGCAGCCCAACGATTCCAATCATTCAAGATGGTATTCAGAACTTACAGTGACAACTATTAACAAGTAGATCGGAGGGAGAAAAACAATTTCTAATCGTAAGGATCCGCTGAGGCACATTTAAGGAAGAAAACCTGTTATTTTGCTAAAGTGTCTTCCGACTATTTTGCACATGGCTATGGGCTCCTGGAGTTAGTTAGATTGGTAGGTTGGTAGGTAGGTAGGTAGGTAGGTAGGTAGATAGATAGATAGCTATAGATTCGCGTCCGACTTTTAGGTAGATTTTACATCAACACCACACAAAGTCACATAGATCTTTTTTCTTAAAGCGATACTAGCCAAGCCCATTTGTGTAAAAAAGTAGTTAACCTAGCTCACCAACAATTTTGTAGACCATGTTACGCCGCGCCTGTCCTGCACAAAATTTCCTTTCGTTGCAGTCGTTGCGGTCCGTTCCAATACAGTCCTTACATCTCCCTTTACCATGGCGATAATAACGATGCGACGAACTACTGCCAGCGTGACATTCACCTGAATTAGATATGTAAAAAACTTCAATCAATCTTGAAGATGAACGGGTTAGTTTTAAAGAAACCAAGTTGCGTGTGTGGTGTGGGAGTGGCTCTAGTTCTTTTGGCGGAGTTGGGTTCATAAGTTAAATTCAGGCCAACGCATAAAAATTAAAAACTAAGTTTGAAGCTTTAGCTCTTCCACAGAATAAACTAGCCAGTACTGCCGAAGGTGGTGAAAGAAGCCGGCTCGTTCCCAGACGTCTCTCTCTCAATTCACCACTTGTACATCTCCCAAAATGCACCTTGTTTGCCCCCCCCCCCCCCCCCCCCCCAAACTTTTTCCCAAACATTTTTTTTAATTTTCTTTGGGGCGGGGGTAAAAACCCGGGGAAAAGAAAAAAAAACATTTTCAAAATTTTTGGGGGGAAAAAAGGGGTTTTTTTTCGGGGGGCGGGAAAAATCCGAAATGAAATTTTTACTCAAAAGAAAGAAAGAAAGGAAAAAAGGGGGGGATTCCCCCCCCTTTTTTTTCCCTTCAACTAATTTGATGAAACCAACTTGTCATGTATGTCCGTGAAGAGAAAGAGAAGGGGGCGGGTCTAGGAGAGGTACATGGGTATTCGTCCTCCCCTCTCCCCCTCCTCCCCTTGCTCCCTGTGCGCTGGCCTTGCCCGCCGCCCTCGGTGTCTGGTGTGTGGGGGTGGGGGTGGGCGGGGGGGAGGGACGGGGGGGGGGGGGGGGGGGGGGGGGGGGGGGGGGGGGGGCAGTGTACTCTGCGAGGAGAGGCTACATTTTCGCAGTGTGAGCTGTCGTGCGAAAAGTAGCCTTTACCGACAACCGTTCAATTTTCTATCGTGCATGCGCAAAATTCGTCACGCGATTCGCAAGCAAAATTAATCTTCAGGTCTGTCGTTAAATGGCGCGAGTTTCGCGGGAATAACCCTGATCCGCTACGCAAGACTCACGCAATGCTCTAAACCGGTCAAAAACGGGAGAAAACCCGTTTTTAAATTTATTCGTCCAGATTTCTGGACGAATTTGAACGGTTGTCGGCAGAGGCTACTTTTCGCACGACAACTCACACAGCGAAAATGTGGCCTCTGCTCGCAGGGTAGGGGCAATGGCGAAAGCATCAAGTTTCAACTAATTTGATGAAACCAACTTGTCATGTATGTCCGTGAAGAGAAAGAGAAGGGGGCGGGTCTAGGAGAGGTACATGGGTATTCGTCCTCCCCTCTCCTTATCTTCAAAAGAAGCTACATATGTAGCTAAGGAGAACGCCCCCCTGCAGTCAAAATCCTGGACCTGCCCCACGGAGGTTTGTCTGAAGCACGACAAAGAGCTTGTCGAGTAGTTGAGTAATTCTCTTAATATGAACATGCTAGACTAAAAGTTACCATAAAACTGCACTCCAAACAAGTCATAACCCAGTTCCTTTGCTTTCTGGGCACAGCGACAGATGAATCCAGGGAGGTAGTTTCCCCAATTCACCCAGTCAATCAGCCGCCCTCCGTAGTTGGCAATACTTTTGTCGCGTTCGTTGTAGATGTAGTGAGGAAGTGTTCGGTCGTTTCGTCTATCTCTGAAGCAGCCCAGAGGCTTAAACAATACACCGCACCCTTCAGGATCCTCGCAAAGGTTGGTCGCTAGATATATTCGCAAAATAGAGATTATTAGGCTCAAATTCTGGCAAAAAAATTAAGTGAACTAGAGATAATTTACAATAGTTTGGGATGAATTGACTAGAAAGCACCAGCAGAATTAAGTGTCCTGTTACTCCTCCATCTCTCCTAGAATTCTTGTGATGCTACCCATTTAATTCAGTGGTTATGCGTTTCTTGCCCTTGACGGCTGACTGTCGGTACATTTCTTAGAAGGTCTTATTAGTCCAATGAATTTCTAGACCACGAGAAGACTTTTATTTTCCCCAGGCTGTAGTAATAGATAGGGCGAAAGGGTTCGTGAAATCGACTCACGCAAGAAGAAGCATCACGCGAAGGGAAAAAGAGAAAATATGGGTGTGGTAGGTGATGACTTCACGTGCGCTCGCTTCCTTTGATCGTCCGTGGAACTACTCGTAGATAGGCCACTGAGAGTAGAAAGGTTGGCACAAGAATGCCCTTATTCTGGTCTGTTTTTCGCCAGCGTAGTACTAAGGATTTCCCCTCTCCTCAAACAAACATTTTCAAATTCCAATTTGATGACTCATGAAACGTTCTTAGTTGGTAAATGAGACCATATATAGTGAAGATCAGTCTTACCAGCTCTGATGTCATTAAGCAGGATGATAAAGACCAGCACAGATAGAGTAATCATCTTCGTTGCTACAAAGGAAAAAGGAGACAGCTATTTAAAGAATACAGTACTTACCTACTTGCTTACCTGAGCTGGTAATCATCCCTAGCCATCCGAGTGAAATCTTTCCACACGGCCCTGCTAGCTCATATTTGTTTACCATTATCCAATCCAGTTGCCCTAAAAGTAAGGTGGGGACCCGGGGCCCTTCCCTGAATCCGCCACTTTAGCCCCCTATATAAGGATGAGAGGAGCGTGATCCCTGCATGCTTTGTAGGGTTACGCAATCATCCTGTTTTGTGAAACCTTGATTCGTTTTCACTGTAAACTGCAAATGCGCTTAGCTGTATTTTCAGGAAAAGCATGCATTCTAAGACCTAAATATGCGGATGTTTTTTGTCCTTCTTAAAAGGTTTATCCGAGACTAACCGATCTTGCGGTTCTTTTTAAATACTGAGAAATCTTCTCAAAAACCAGACCACCACTCGCAGTGGGAGATATTCCTCACTGTAACGTCTGTAAGTTGAAACACCACAACCGCTGGCTTTAGACTTGTTTTGCGGTGTTTTATGGCCCTTTAAAAATAGTTTCAATGTGTTTAGTTTATTTTATTTAAAATTATAGAAAGCCACCTAACCACCTAGTGAAAGAAAATGCTTTCGGTATACCTACTTTTTCGTGAATCGGAAGAGCTGCAGCGGCAATGAAACGTGTTCACTCGCCAAAGAGATAAGACTTATAGAGGACTTTGAGCTAAAACTGGCCGTTATTAAACTTGATTAAGAAAGGATGATATTATACAATAAAAGTTTCAGACAAGAGCTCCGACTAATGATAAAATGGTAAGTAATTCTGGTTTTAATTTGGATAAAGGTTAATATCCTATAGCTTCGAGGTTTATTCAATGAAGACAATTATGACCAATAAGGTGGTTGCAATTTTATAGAATGTTCCGAATTTGTCAGACTCATGGAGAACTCACCAAGTTTCACTAAGGATCGCGAAATTCTAGGTAAATTCGACTAAAAGCCGAGAAAAATTAAGGCTTCCAATTAATCACTGAGTGAAAAGATTTCTAGATAGGAAGAAGATAAGCCAACATCACAATGTTTCTAATATAGTTATATAAAGATTGCTTTTGTAATTGCAGTTCTTATTTAAACAAAATGTGTCAAAAAATACAGTCTGCATTTAGAAATAATTTATTACCAGTGGATATGACAAATTTCCAAGTAATTTTAAGACGAAGCACCTCTCGCAGATATAATTGGCCTGCTTGTAGGCTGAACGTAGCAGTGAAAGCCGGTTTTAGATTTCAAGATAAATTTAGTTAAAGTTGCTGAAATTACTTCGGTCTTTCCTCATTGCCTTAAATAATTATGTATTTATCTATCTTTAGTGATTCTCCTCTATATACTTTTTTTCTGGCAACAAAAGTTTGATTTTTGTAACCATCCATCCATCCATCCATCCATCCATCCGTCCGTCCGTCCGTCCGTCCGTCCATCCATCCATCAATCCATGCATCCATCCATCCATCCATCCATCCATCCGTCCATCCGTCCGTCCATTCATCCATTTATCCATATTCCTTATGTCCGTCCGTTCGTCCGTCTAACTCATTCCAAGAAACCATATGGCCTTTTGGTTGTATTGTCCGGGGCTAACGAGGAATATACAATGAGCTCTTTAGCTTGAGAGTAAAGTCCCTAATGGAAGGGGAGAAATATAAACGTAAATAAAAAAACAGCAAAGAGAAAAGCAACTTGAGGTTTGAGGTTTCGGTTTTAAGTGGAAAATGATTCCCAGATTGACGCTAACTAACTATAACCATTCGTCCGTGAAAGTGTTTTATTCAGTGCAGTTGACATTCTAGAAGAAATAACGGCAAATAGTGTGATCTTTACGGACATGTCGTTATTTTGAAGCGTTATTGCCAAGGGCAATGTTGTCGATAATGAAGCTGTCTCTTTTGTAATCCTATAATTAATTTTTTGCTTGTTCTAAGACTTACAGGCCTTGTGCTAATCCCGGCGGTTATTAAGCTTGATTAAGAAAGGATGATCTGACACAACAAAGTTTCAGACAAAAGCCCCGATAGATGATAAAGTGATAGGATAATTTTAATTTTAATTTAGAGAAAGGGTGTCCTATATAACATTCCATGATTACAAGGCTCATTCAATAAAGACAGTCACAATTTGATGTGGTTCAATTGTTGTTAGACTCATGGATGATTGAAATAAACGCGTTCAAAGGGTCAGGAAATTCTTAAGACTTATTGCATCAAGTAAATGATTTTTAGATATGAGGAAGTGAAGCCAACATCACAATCTTTCTAATATACTATATTTAGACTGCTTTTGTTATTGCTTTTCTTATTTAAACAAAACGTGTCGACAATATAGTCTGCATATGGAAATCATTTATTACCAGTGCGAAAAATAAAAAAATAAAAAAAATTCCGAGTCATTTTCACATGATGTTTAAGACGAACCAAACCTCTCCTGAGCACAAATAATGGGCTTGATCATAGGCTGAACACAACCGTAAAATGTTTTTAGAAATTTAGTTGAGGTTTCAGAAAGTACTTTGGTCTTTTTAATCGTCCATCAAGCTTTTATCATTGAAGCCAATTATTTAATATGAAACAAATGTAAATCGCTTGCATTTCTAGGTTTAATTTTAAACCTCATAGCGGTAAAATACTATTTTATTTATTGATAATCATCTATATACTTTTTTTCTGTCAATAAAAATTTTAATAAACTATATCATTAAAATAACAATAATAATAATAATAATAATAATAATAATAATTCATTATTATATTGTTATTCATTCAAAATATTTCTCCGTTTCTGATTGGCTAAAATCCCACCCATAATTCATGATAACCAGCTATTGTCGACCGAATTTGGAAGAATTTTTGCAACATGGGAAAAATGTCGTCAATGGTGCAGCAAAATTTCCAGATTATAGAACAGTTAACCGAAAAGACCTGGGGATGAGGTTGAATTGTTTTGGTAGTGAGTACAAAACAGCGAAACATTTCACTCGTTTCACGAGGAAGAAATAGGTAAACTATTGGCTAAAAACATAGCAAGAACAGCAAGAAGACAACTCGAAAGACGACATCTGCTATTTGGAGAATATCTGCTGAACAACCCTTTATCTCCTCAACTTGCCGATAAACATGCACTATCGCGGATTATCGATAGCGGTAAGCATGTTTTGGTCTTTTTTAAACTAGGAATTATTTAGAATGAATAATAAAACAATTATTATTATTATTATTATTATCATTATCATTATCATTATTATTATTATTATTATTATTATTATTATTATTATTATTATTATTATTATTATTACCAAATGTTACCATTCCAACTGACAGGGTACATATCATTTTTCAATTCCAACCATCCATCCATGCACCATTCATAATTCCGGTTCGTCCGTCCGTCCGCCCGTCCATCTGTCTTACCCATTTGTATTGTCAGCGGCTGAAGAGGAATAGTGGAAAAAGAACATGGGAAGTTTTCGAGGTAGAATAATCTAGTAATGCCCTTTTTAGTGGTGGAATATGAAATAATGAAAATGTTAGAGTTGGAATAATTAGCTATAACTATAATCTTTTTGGGGGAGTAATAATGAAATAACGACATTTTCTGCGAAAAAATGATGGATTAGTAAAGAACACCCCGTTTCTACTCCCTTATTCCTCTTCATCTCGAGTTAAAGACTGTTTACATTGAGGTGGGGGACCCCAGATAGGTGAGGTAACATGCGGCGGGTCACCTCACCTATCATGTAAACGTGATTAAATTAAAATGAGAGATTATATGGACAGGCGGGTTACCCCACCAAAGCGGGTTACCTCACACCTGGGGTACCCGACCTCCATGTAAACAGGCCCTTAGTTACGCTCTTGAGTAAGGTTCTGTATCCGTTATGCTTCAAATAACACAGTACTAACCCTCGCAATCTTACCAACCTTGCAGGAGCACAATGCAAACATATCTTTCCATGGCTAGCACTCGATCAGCCGTTCACTGATAGAGGATTTTACATGGCCGCTTGGAGAGACGGAATTCCCTTGTCGTGTTCAAAAATGTAACATTTCACTCGTTTGCGAAATACCAAACCATTTGACTTCAATTTATATTTTCTAGGCGCAATTTATCATGTACCCATAGCAACGATGATCTTTTCACGTGTGAAGATTATGTTTTCGCGCCAAAGGCCAAAGCGCACCTGTTATTTCTTTGGTGGTTAGGTAATAAATACAGTTATTTATTTTCCAACCCAGCCATTCCCAACCGTAGGCTTACTGGTCTTCCAGTAGCGCGCTTTCCTTTATTCCCTCAAAGACACTGATGATCTAGCGAAACACCCTCTACACGTATACGGCGCGCCTTCTCGCGGAACTAAGGAATATTAATCTCCCGGATATTACATGTTTTCCTGTCTTTTCTTTGTGAGAACCGGAAAAGTAAAGGACCCTTGTAGTCTGATGCAAAGTTGTTGATGTCTTTATAGTGAGAGGGTGTCTTAGCTGTATGGAATTTGTTTTATCTTTGGGCGTTTACCAAATGAAACAGGCGTTGTCCTCAACCCACATATGAATTGTTTTACAAAGCAAATGGTCGCTAATCATTCAAATGAAACCGCAAATTCGCTACATTCGTACGGGTTATAAAACTATTCTCGAAAGAACTGTGTTTTTGTTTATAATTCTAAATTCTAATTTTAAAATGTTTGCCAAAAAGAAACAATTTCAAGTACCGGACAGTTGACAGTGTCGCACAGTCCGATGTTATTTGCTTTTATACATTTGTATCTCTGTACAAAGACCTGACGAATTTACAAAAACGAACAAGACAAAAGATCTTTTGTAAGTTAAACGCTTTGTCATGCAAAATATTTTAATCTCAAACGATTAGAGCGAAAATCAACTTAGCATCTGGGATTAAGAAGTTAATCGCCCAAATTACAACCTCAACTATTTTTAATAGATTTTTTTTACTGTCGGTCTACTATATCGACATAACCAAATCGCGACTTCATAAATAACTACGTGCCGATCTTAAATAAATTCTCCTACTAGGTCAGCCTCTTTTGCCTCAGGTCAGGAAGCTTAAACAAACAATATTCCTTTGTTCCTGTTATTTTGAGTGAAAAAAATTGTTTGTGTGGCGTGCTGACTACTTGAAAGTTATTGTGTACAATCCTGAAAAGAGTTGAAAAGTCATGTGATCTTTTGTATTAACCAGCGTACTGTTTGCAGGTGTTGTTGTTGTTGTTGTTTTTTTGGTAAAATGTTCTTTTAGCACTGTAAACATCTTCCGCTAGGTTTTTACAAGAACTTCCTGTAGACAGCATGATTTATACTTGTCACTGTCTTTGAGTGGGCGAAGGCATGGATGATTAAAAACAGTCAAGCGTACATTTGTCACATTCACTTCCCTCAAAGGTAAAATCTAACACCATTTTTTAGGCTATTTTATCTGCTTTAAGAAACTGCTTAGAGACCAACGTATACTTTCCTAGAAATGTTATCGGTAAATCTTGCTTTTCCCACAATGTCAGCTGAAAAATAGTTAACATTTTTGCTCGCGGTAGTGAACACCAAATCATTACAAATTCAATAAACAATCAGATGTTTACGAACTTCAATTCTATAACTATCACAGTTTCTTTGTATATACAAAGTAAAAATCGCAGGCACGCGTCCGATTTAGTCCGGAATTCCTTTTTAAAATGTTTACTCCACACTGTACAGGTCTTTAGTTAACACGTAGAGCATTTTATCGTAGACTCCCATGAACAATTACATTTCAATTCTTTTCTGTAGTTCTTTTTGTCTTCTCACCTCCAGTACGATATCTTTCGTCCCTTTTGGGAACGTTCAAGGCGTTTAAGATAGTCTTGTTTTTGTTTGTTATAATAAAATTCTCCAGCACCTTCTTTGATAAGTATAGCAGCACACTCCGTTTTTCCCGCGCGAATAGCTGTATGCATTGGAGGCCATCCGCTTGGATCCAAAACGTTTATGTCCGCACCACTTTTAATTAGTTCTTTGAGCAATTCTGTGTTGCCATCCAAGATAACTTGATGCATCTGTGGTAGTTCGTTCTCCTCTTGTTCTTCACCTTTGCTTTCTTTGTTGTCTATGTTTGCTTCGTCCTGTTCCAATTCCGCTTTCCCTCCTTCTTCGTGTTCAATTATATCCGTAAGCGCTCTCTTCCTAAACATTGTTAAGTCCTCGTCCGGCAAACTCAATTTACGCCGGGCCCGCATGATGTGCGATATTAATATAACCCGCTGTGTACACTTCACTTGATGCTGAACAAACAAAGTTCCGTTTTAAAGACAAAGGGCCAAGAAAGTGATTATCATTTGTCCGTACAGCCCCCAAAGTCCGTCAAGTATGTACTGTGCCAATATAGTTTGTGTGAGTTCCAGAACAGTTTCTTTGAGTGGTTGATATTGGTAAACTGCGGTCGAACAAAATTAACTCAGTGTCTCGAACTGAGGGACCTAGCGCAGATAAATACTTTCTATCAGCCACTGTTGATAACCAATACACGGCACTCGCTTGTTATTTTGCGTGGTAAATGTGGCTAATTAGACGATCTAATAAGTCAGAAGTGCTAATGAAGCGATGAACACTTTAAAAAGTGAGGAGCGATCTCGCTGATTGAACTGTACAGTACGTACTGAACAATTAAGCCACGCACATCGTTCGTGCTTCATTGAGAAAAATGCTGCCAGAAGTTAAGACCGGCTTTTTTATAATACCAAATGTCTTTGTTTACCAATACCGAAGACCCCTTTCTTTTGTATTTCAGTTGTTTTTGTCCTCTAGGTATTGATAAGACAGATCAGTCTTTAACAAAAGAGATAGCGGACTCTGAACTGTTTTGACTGAGAACATATGAAATATAATAAAATATCACGCCATGCTGTTTGAAAATTTGGCCCGTTTACGGTCTTAGATAATAGTTATAAAAAGGAAAATAAACTTGAGATACAATGTATAGTCGTACTGACTCTTATCATCGAAACAGCAAGAATATAATTTAGCAACTTTAATAACGAGGGTTATGTACATAAATATCTCTTTAACACTTGACTTGCCGGTGATTGGTTTATTCTTGACTGATAACGGGAAGGGTAGACAAGGCGATATAATTGCACACCACTGAGGATATTGCTTAAAATGATTGGTTTTAATTCAGTCAATAAGTGATGATCACTATGTTTTCGCTACGGCTCTTTCAATTCACTAAGCCGTTTATAGAAGATACTAATCTTTAGAGTGTCTATACAGAAATACCAGCTAAAGACCTATTTAGAGTGTTTCACTCCGAAGTGCTTTTGTTAAAGTGATTTTTCTAACAGCAGGAGTAACAAACAACTATATATAGTAACAAATAAATGCCGGCATTAGTCGTCCATATAAATATTCGGATTAAAAGGGCAAACGTTTATGACGGAAACCGAGGTTTTAATAAAGGCCAGGTATAACGCCCAAAGAAAATGTTATTGGAAGAGTTCTCAATGTGTCTTACCGTTTACAAAATACTTAAAATGTCTGTCGGTTTTTAGAAACTGTCAGTCTAATAATTTGCCTTTTACCCCAGCACTTTTATGACGTTAAGGTTTGTGTTGTATCGACCAACGTTTGCCCTTCACGTAGGAATTGATAGTTACGTAAGTTTTTCAAGCTAAAAAGCTGGAATGAACTGATGACGTCACGAATGATTTGGTAATGCAATGCATTATTCTGAAGATCTGATTGCATCGGCAAACAGTTCTGAAAAAGAGTATATGGTCAACCTCACGGGATATTTGGATTTGGCTCCTGTGCGTTGTTTAGTTGATATAAGGCTATAAGGCAGACGCGTCTCTGACACTGACGTGCCGATCCCAGCGATGTCTGTTAGAGAAACTGAGAGAGTTGACTGTATTTGTAACTGTTTACTAATATCAGTTCAGTTTAGTTCAGTTTAATGCGCATGTTTATAAGATAAAGTGTTTTGCGTTGGTTGTCCGTAATGTGCTTCGGTTTTGCTACTATATCTCGAAACGGGTACAGTCAACAACAACAACAACAACAATAAACTTTATTTACATAACTATAACAAAGTATTACAGTAGTGCAAAAGCTACTTGAATTTAATTACTTATTCCTTTTAAAATTAATTAATTAATTAATTAATTAAAATAACTTTAAATATAATAATCATTGCTTATTTTCAATCATCAGTAGGATTAATTATTCCGGAGACAAGTTTGTCTCTCAATTCAAAGCAAGATGATATAAATAAAATTAATTGGATGTTATAAAATAGCCAGTAGAATTTATTAGATGTGATAATAAAGTCACTTGTGATCGTACAGTCAATTCTAGCTCTCTAAGAAAGACACCTTAGGGACCAGAACTTAGTGTCCGTCTAAGGGTGATGTCTGTCTTACAGACAGTCGAATAAAGGGAGTAAAGAAAGAGAGGGGCCAATTCTAGGTGTCCGTTTTACAATGTCCGTCTTATGGAGGTGTCCATTAAGAGAGGGTCAACCATTTTGTCAACTGTTTTGTTTGACGCGGACCCCACAGTAAGCCGTCGAGACTGTATTAAAAAGACACTCCCATAAGATAAGCGACATAAGTATCGTTTTGTGGGTTTGCTTTTGGTTACTGGATTTTCCACACTTTCTTTCAAAATTTGAATTTTTAGAGTGGTCATGATCTTTCATGAAGAGACCTGAAGAGCTTTCAGTCCGGAAACACGACAACAAATCAAAGTGATCGTTTCGTGCTAAGCTTTCAACTACTTACACTACAAAATTCTGCTATTTAATAAATTGCGTTGCGATGGTACTAGTCCTCCTCGAAGGGTGGGCGGGGGGGGGGAGGGGAAGCACTCCGTTATGGTCCTCAGGGTCAAGAGTCTTAAACCGGATATACAGTTTTAATATTTAGCGTCTTCTATTAAATTCCATGATGTTAGTTTGAAAAATAACTTAATTCTGTGAGCAAAACGAAACGAATTAGGACCATAAAATGAGGTGTCTTGCCTTAAACTGGGGAGCGAAATAAACAATTTTTGTCTAGCAAAACAGGGTCAAACTTCGAAGGCCTTGGCGGAATAACTCAAATTTCCCTTGAGCACCCCTTCCCCCCCCGGGACTTGTTCAAGATATGCTGCAACAACAAACAACAGCAAACAAACAAATAGCCTCCCCTGCAGACATTCTTAGGGATTCGTCGTGCGTTTCTGCCCCACTAACGTCTGCTGAACTGAGAGATAGGAAAGCGTGACGAACCCCTAAGAATGTCTGCGGGGGAGGCTAACAAACAACGACAAAAGTTTATTTCTTTGAAATGAATTAAATTACAATTTAGACCGACACGCAGGTAGCTTAGCTAGTCGAGGCAGCTCGGACTATAAATTCAAACGTATTTATATAGTATACTAAAGAAAAAAAACGGGAGAGAGTAATATAAAGTACATAAAGTTAAATTAATAAGAAATAAAATAACATGAGAAATACAATAAATTACAAAATAAAGATGGTATAACTAACATTTCTTTATTAGAATCAAGACAATTTATCAATTTCCCATTGTAGTCATCTTCAGTTTTCAAGTGTCAAGTAACACATTTTTCATCTTTTATTAAAACTTTTCTTTGACAATTTTTTTTATTCTTTCGGGTATCTCATCCCAAACTCTTGTACCAATACATGAGAAAGCATTTTTTTGCAGGTCAATTCTAGAGTGTTTAGTATAAAAATTTTGAGACATTGATGAGTGAGTAGAATATCTGTGTATACTTGACGTTCTGGAATAAAGGTCTGAAATATCCGGCGGTGCCCGTTTAGAATTAACAGCACGCATTAATTTTGAGACCTCAAAGACAGATTTAGGATGGATTTAACAAATGGGGATCTGTTATGCAAGGGAAAGGGGGTATGAGCACTAATAAAAGTGTCGGTATAAGCAGTACGGCGGCTCCATCCAAACAGCAAAACCTATAACGGTTGTGTTACTTCCTGTATTTGATTTGAAGGAAATACGTACCCGGAAGGCTTAATTGTTGTTCAGTCTAGTCGCGTTATATTTTTTTCATTTTTAATTTGAATTTGTACTTTGTTCTGTAAAAGTACCGTACATATTATTTACTGGTATCATAATTTAAAGAAATCTTAGAAAAATTGATGAGAGGCATTGAAAGAAAGCCTAACCGAGAGGTTTTGCCCGAGGGGAAGGGGTACTTCCTTATAAGAGGCTAATGGGGATGTGCCGCTGGATAAGGTCGCATTTTTACGACCTGATTGACTATAACGGGGTTGTATTTTCGATAGAGTTACTAGAATGGGGTCGCATATTTTCGGATCTTTGGGGTAAGAAAGTTCTTCACATTTACAGTTAGCAAATGTACCAGACTGTTTGTACTGTAGCGAAAAGTAAAGTGATCTTGATTCAATTAAAAAAATAGGTCAATTCATTTTAGGATGATCTATTTAAAGGATTGATAAAGTAGATACATAAATAGACAGTGACTAAGTTGGGATCGCGAAATTTACATCTGCGCAAAAGTGACTAAGATGGGGTCTAAAATTGGCCACAGAATAGACTATAACGGGGTTAGGGCTCTGAGAGGCCAGCGGCACATATCCAGCAAAACTTAAGCCAAGTACCCCCCGTTTTTTTTGGGGGGGGGGGTCTCCCATATATAAGAGACGGGAATGCTTGTCGGAAAATAAGAATTCAACCCCTAGAGGAAAGCAATATGAGGGTGGCCTAGGGTTTATTGAACCCCAAAAGGAGACCATGGTCCAAGGCAGTATAACGGTGATCGTTTTTTAACCCTTTAAACCCTAACATCAAAATTCAGATTCTCATTTGTTATCCCTATACGTTTTCAATAGAAGTAGTGGGGAGAATTTGTTGAAGTATCAATTAGATTCATCTTGTGTGATCATATCCTTAATTCTTATGACCACTCTGTTTTAAGAAGCAGTGATATTACAAGGAGAAATTTGATGCTGATCACTCTTAGGGCTTAACGGGTTAATAGATGTATCGATATTTCTTTACGCAGGACTCTAAGTGAGACTAAAATATGCAATTCCTACCTTTCCGGTCATTTTCATTTGGGAGTCCCCCCCCCCCTTCCTACCGACAGGCCGATGCGTGACTCGCATTCTATGGTCGGTAACATCGGATGTTACATGTACCCTGAGAAGTGATGTTCAGTTGTTCCAAAATTTGGAACCTAGATATTTTAAAAGATATCGCAAAAAATTTTGAAGATACTTAAATTCGCTCTAGTGCGACCCGGGTCTTACTCTAATGCGATTCGGCGTCTCTTCTAGTATGTGAAGCTTGAAAGTCTTAGCTTGCATGTGATAGACCGTGATCAGACATACCAATAACAAGTATAATGTTTCCTTAACGCGATTTATAACTGAATGTATGGAGATCGTAGCCGACCATGGGTCGCTCTTCTTTATTGAGGACATTTTTTCTTGGTGTTCTTATAATCGCAACGTGGGTGCTCTTAGTCGCTGTTTATCTCTTCGGCCGTCAAGGAATCCTCTTGAAGATAAATTACCAAAACTCGTTGCTTATCATAACGGGAACGATTGTGAAAGAAGAAGCGGCAAAGCAGCCTGAAATCAGGCTGAATGGATTAAATCAGCATACATGGGAAAAGCCGTGCCAGATAAACCTCGAACAGCTCTGCAATTATCCAATTTTTCCTAAGGCGCCGGATAACAGAACCTTTGCGGAAAAAATTGACTTGTTCTTCTCTAACGTTACAGTTGCTGGGATTCGACTTATAGGTTTCCTTCGTCCGAATATATCCGGCGAATATTATTTCTTGGTCGCTTCGAATGGCGTCGCTGAAGTTTGGCTAAGTTCGGATAAGAGCTGGAGAAACGCGCAAAAAGCCGCGTACACGAACCCTCAAAATTCAAGCTCGGCCGTGGACAACAAGGCCTTTAAAGCAATAAAATCTCAGATTTCTGATGGCATGTTTTTGTATGCGAACTATGACTACTATTTTGAAGTGATTTACGCTCAGGGGATTCACGAAAGCAAAGAGCACCTAATTCAGGTAGCTTGGAAAAGACCTGAAACGAAGAGATTTGAAATAATAGTTGGAGATTTCCTCACGCCATACAAAAAAGACAGCCATTTGGCTCATCTACAAGTTTACGACGATGATCTGCCAGAAGTCCCCTCTTGCCGGGAATTGCGGGTTAAATACCCAGTCACGAACAAGTATATGGAGCCAGAGACGTTACCCTATTTGCAACACGCAACAGTGGCACGCGCGCTAGACTTCTGTGAATATCAACCCAGTTATCTTCTAAAACCTGCGAATTTGTCCAACTTCAGGAAGTATCACGGAGTATACCGACATACGCACAAGACAAGCGGCTATCCGTTTCCTAACGTGATGGGGGTGAAACAGGCTAGTAAGCTCTCTGTAACGTTTATAGGAGAATACCCCTTAGATGCGAAAGAGGCTATGGCAGTTGTAAGCCAATACTTTGAAGCTCTAAAACAGGCATATCCGGGGTAAGTAAACTAAATCAATTCTTCCTTATACCTTATTAGCTGACTTCAGTGGAACCCCGCCTTAAGGCCACCTCGGTAATATGGTCACCTCGCTGTAACGGCCACGGTTATTTGGCCCGGCAAAACGGCAATACAGTTTGTTTATAAAAAACCCTCGTTAATACGGTCACCCGTTAATACGGCAAACGGCCACATTTTAAAATCCCAACCAATAGAATCTTTTACAATTTCGCCTCGTTAATACGGCCACTCGTCAGAAATTTCGAATTGCTTTGATCAGGAGGCTCCTGTATTGACCTCAGTAAGTTGAGCTTGTTTTTCTACTGTTTTTAGACTATAGTCACTTACAGTGCATTTGTGATTTATGTGTGTGTTTTATGTGCTGAAGAAGTTTCAAGTAGTTTTTTTCAAGTAGTTTCTACAATTACGTACGGTACGCGATATCTACATTGCTGTTGTCAGTGTTGTTTATTACAAGAAGTGTAAATGCGATCATGGTGTATTCCTTAAGTCATGAAATTTGACCCTGCCCCGGCAATACGGCCACCCCGTTAATATGGCCAAATTGTTTTGTGACCCTTGATGACCGTATTAACGGGGTTCCACTGTAAGTAAAAAGCCTCCAGTGAGGTCTGTCTGCTCGCGCTTTCTAGCTTTTTAGCCCTATAGCGCTACAGTCAACTCTATCTAAGATGGCTCCCTTTGGGACCGGTCCTAAGTGTCCGTTTCAGAGAGATGTCCGTCTTATAGAGGGTCAAATGAACGAATTAAAGAAAGTGGGGGATCAATTCCAAGGGTGCTTACCATTTGACAGAAAAATCCGGTTGGGGTGTCGAAACCATAATGGTAAGCGATTTGCCAGTTTACCGTAGAAATGCCACATCCGTTACGGTTTGAATCCAAACAAGGGCGAATTTGTGTCCCGTGAGTCTGGAACCGAGAAGAAACTGAGAAATTGGTTAATGGTAAGCAAGATTTCGTTTGGTTCGTACCAACCGGAACGAAAGGACTGCCTCAAAACGTACTCCTCAATTTTCGGTTGGAATTTCCGAAAACTGACCTTGCCATTTTCCTTCCATCCGGAATTTCCGAAATTTTCCGTCAAATGGTAAGCACCCCAGGTGTCCGTTTTACAGAGGGGTCCGTCTTATAGTGAGGTGTCCGTTAAGAAAGAGTCGAACGTATTCACGCTGACGTCACTTATCTATGTTAATGCGCCAACTAGAAGCGCATTGGTTCTTGAAACAAAAGTCTCAGAGGAGACATCTCTGCAACACGAGTGGAAAAAAAGAATCTTTTGTCAACAGAGCACTTATGCGCCAATGAGTTTCCGGTTGGCACATCAATATCAATAACAGACGTCAGCGTAAGTTTCGCTCACCATACACTACAAAAGCAATAGTGCCTGTTGACAGGCTACTGAGTGAGTGATTCATTACTAGTTACCAGTTGCTGGTTACACGGACGTGGTCCGTACCTGGGCTACCTCGTTAGGCCTTTAAATGGTGGCAAGAAACTGCCAATTTGCGTTGTTTAAAAGATGGAATAAATAGGATAGGTATTGGTGTTACAATGAGGAAACAACTTTCTGGACAATTGTCTGCGCGCGTGCGTTTGTTTCAAGACTGACTCCTCCCCAGTCCTCTCTTATTGAACCTCTCCCCAGTGACGCGCAGGGTGTAACGGGAAGGACTGAGGAAAGCGTGTGAGAGAGTCTTCTTCTCTATTTTCTCTTCCCATTACCCCCTGTCCCCATCATGCGCGTTACGAAGGCGATTAAGTACAAGTCAGTTCTTGAGATACCAAAACCAGGAAAGTTTCTGAGGCGATTCAGATTTTCACATATTGGGTCGACGAAGGACTGAACGCATACTAATGAAAAATCGATTTTAAATATTCGAAACATATGATCCTGAGCCTATCGATCGATACGAACCTCGACACCAATTTAGTCCCTTCAAAAATGTTTCCGGGGTCCAAGATAAGAAGACTAATACCAGTTACAGTATAAAAACATAGGCACGTTCAACGTGCATGAGCTATTTTGAATGCTTCAGTGTAACTATAATACTTGGGTGTAACCTTACCAAGAGTGATGAATCTACCTTTTTCATCCTAAATGTAGATTTGGTTTTTGTGCGAAATTGGGTATTGCGCTACATAAATGAAAACGCGAAACGCTCAGCTGAGTCGATCCTCAACCTATGTATTCACTTTCCTCTGTCTTTCCCAGTTACATCTGGTGCAAGTTAAACAAATTGCTAAAGTAAAATAAATTTCTACTCACCAAACGTTGATTAGAAGGAAAACTCTAAGGTTTCCTCGGAGTTTCTTAAGCCAAAATGTGACTCATCGAATACTGAATAGTTACGAAATACCAGGATTTTTATCATTGAGGTAGATGGTTGCGTCATCATAATTCACGAGGTTTTCACGTGCGATTCTACTCAGTGAAACAGTCTTTAACTCCGACAACTTATTTCTTCATGTTTTAAAAGCTATTGCTTCTTAAAAGGCAAGAGCCTTTTTTAAGGCATTGGTTACAAAACGAAACAGGTCTTCATACGTCCAAGTTACTATTTATCATTGTGAAAAGCCAATCTGCATGAGATGTACAGTCACACAGCTGGCACGTGAAAGTGTTGGACTTTGTCCCCTTTCGTGGTTCGTACGTGAGGGAATTCGAGTTATCACACAATAAACTAGTAAACAGAATTATAAAAATAACTCTTGCACACAATTTGCACGTGAAGATGTTGGTCTTTGGCCCTTTTACAATTCGTACGTTAAAAAAAAGGCAAATTGTTTACTACAAAATTTTCTCAAGCGATTTTAAGAAATCACCTCGGCTTCATTACAACATCTGCAATTAAATTATGTTTCATGCAACGTCAAGGTTGATAACCTAACATTTATTAACATTTGTGAGACAGTCTTTAACTCCGACAACTTATTTCTTCATGTTTTAAAAGCTATTGCTTCTTAAAAGACAAGAGCCTTTTTTAGGGCATTGGTTACTAAACGAAACAGGTCTTTATACGTTCAAGTCACTATTACTATTGTGAAAAGCCAATCTGCATGAGATGTACAGTCACACAGATGGCACGTGAAAGTGTTGGACTTTGCCCCCTTCCGTGGTTCGTACGTGAGGGAATTCGAGTTATCACACAGTAATCGAGTAAACAGAATTATAAAAATAACTCATGCACACGATTTGCATGTGAAGATGTTGGTCTTTGGCCCTTTTACAATTCGTACTTAAAAAAAACGCAAATTGTTTACTACAAAATTTTCTCAAGCGATTTTAAGAAATCACCTCGGCCTTATTACAACATCTGCAATTAAATTATGTTTCATGCAACGTCAAGGTTGATAGCCTAACATTTATTAACTTCCAAGAAAATTATCAAACTGCCGAAATATATCTCTGCTCATATCATGTTACTCCACTCAATAAAGCAGTACCTAATTATTGTGTCAACTAGCTTCTTCCAATTTTATTCCCTAACGCTACTGTTTCTACTTAAGTTTATACGCATCTTTACTAAATAAAATACGTTTCAATAACTATAATGCTTAGTATGCAGGAAGGATGTATCATGTTGTTCACTTATTATTCCTTTTTGTTGTTGTTTTGCCGGAACGAAAAAGGTCTGTTGAACTTTGTAAGCGAGAGAATAATATTTCTACAGCTTGTTTACAGGATTAACAATACTCGGTACAGCTTTTAAAAAAATAAGCTGCTTTTCAAACTTCTAAAACCACATTTTATAGGCCGCATACTTTCGAATTAAAGTCCATATCTAAATATCAATTATTGCTTCACTGGAAGAGCTTTGAAAATATATGATCGTTTATACTCTACCTTGAAGCAGGTGAAACACAACTCATAAATACGTGCGTGGTACCGTTCGCGATAGCCGAATTCGGTCAGAAATGTCTTGAAGTAGCATCCACACTAAAATATGAACCCTTAAACAGCTGCATCACTGTACACAGCGTTTGAATCATGAAGATATTTAATATAATGTTTCCAAACACCTGTAGCCGTAATAAAAGACGAGCAAATTGTAAAGAATCAAGATGGCGGTCTTAAAGTGCCCTTGTTCGACCTTTAGCAATGTGATTTTTAAGTAGATGCCAAGATCTCATTGGTTCCTTAGCATCAACTCATAGTACCTTCAACCTTATTGGCTCTTGCAACAAACATCCGAACATACAAAGTTACAAAGATACAAAGCCACAAAGATACATACGCTCACACCACTGACATATGAGCTATTTTTTCAAAACAGCTCAATAAATTTATTTTTCTCTTTTTTAAAGGAAATACCAACTCATGTCTACTAGGCGCGTTGAAAAGAAAGATGACCCTCTCAAGGGAAGCAGATATTTCCTTGAACTTGAGGTCAAAGATCTTACCGATGGTGCCAGCTATATCCTTGCCGAATACGTGTTTCGTCCAAAGGAAAAAAACTACTCACTTTGTTATCCAAAAGGCCTGCAATGGAACAGGACAGCGGATGTCTATTTGATCCTCACTGCCAAGAAACTGGGTCGATGGGTTCATCATTTTATTAAAAATGTTGAAAAGGTCATACAGGAAACAAAAGATGAGCATATACATGTGGTTATTTATGATTTTGAAAGCCCTGATACTGATTTGAAAAAGCAGGCTCTCGAAAAGAGTTCTGTTAAGAAATATAATTTCATCACGAAGGCTGGGAACTATTCTCGTACTGTTTCGTTCAGTGACGCAATACAATCGATAAAAGACCCAAACGCCATTGTTGTCACAGTAGACCTGCATCTGGATTTTGGAAGTCGGTTGATTAATGACATACGGAAGGTAAGGTGGGGTATGATGGCCAGGCGTTAGCTCCTATAACGGCCCAGCATTCCCTCTTGAGAAACGAGGGGGGCTGGTGCCGAAATTTGTCCCTCAATGGCTCACGTTCGATGTATTAAAATTCTAACAAGACTCCGAGGCTTTAGGAATAAAATTGCAAATTTTTCACGCCTCCATTGTCTCGGAATTCCCAGAAGAGACTAGATCACAAAGAAAACCAAACCAATTATAGAAAAATGACCAGAAAGCATCGGAGTCATGTTAGAATTTCACTATATCGAAAGATGGATATTGATTGTAGTATCGTTGCCGGGGACGCACCGCACGGCGCCGGTCAGCTATTGGCCAGTTTTTTCCCTTGTTTGTAGTAACAGTCCTAGAAGTCTTTGCGCATGTTCACTCGGCCCAGTTTCCTCTCGTTTCTAAAGTGGCGAATATGGAAGACTCCACCCTATATTTGAGTCATCCTCTCCCTCTCTTGGGCACGATATTAGGTTTGACAATGGCAGGAGAAATCACACTAATGAAATTTTACAGCCTTAAGGCTCTCTTAAATTTGTAAACTTTTGTCTTTCTAAAGACTTTTAAGTCATACGAATATAGATTACTTATGTTAGCACACGACCGTTTTTATAACTTTTTACCCGTTCATATTATTAAGCTGTTTACGAAATATGAGCGCAACCATAACTTGCGAAGGAAATTGACCTTTTTGTTACCAAAACCAAACACTGGAGTTCTTCGCAAGTCCACTTGTTTCAAAGCGGTATCTCTATGGAATTCTCTTGACAATCATACGCGTGCAATCTCAAGCAAAAATGTATTTCAAAACTCTCTAAGACGTAGAACTTCATGCGAATAGCTTAGTTTATAGATATATTTTTAAAAACAGTTTAAATCTTTTTCTAAATTTTAATTAGTTTTAAGCTTTTTATTCATTTGTAAACTGTGTTTAACTTTTAAATACACGACCACATCAGCTTCGCTGTAATTTTATTTATCGCGTTTAGATAAATGTTGTTGTTGTTGTTACTTGATTGACAATACTAAGTACTAGTATTGTAGTACAGGCGACGATGTTTTCTTGTATTTTACTACAGCACTCGAGCCATTATACCTGTACTATCCTGCTTTTTCATAGCCGATCTCATTGGCTTCGTTGTATTGACTAACCCTTTGTTGTTTCAGCACTGTATTAAGGGAAGAATGGTATATGCACCTCAGATAGTTTTCCTGAATTGCGATGGAAGCAGCGCGTTGCCGAGGGGATCTTGGTACCACTATAGCTATGGGACAATAGCCACATACAAACAGGACTGGGACAACTTTGGAGGATTTTCAAAGGACTTTCTCAACAAGATTACGTGGGGCGGCGAAGACTGGGACATAATCGACGGAGCTGTCAAGGGTGGACTGGAAATTGAACGAAAACGTTCTCCCTGGATTTACCATTATTATCATTCTAAAAAGGGAATGTGGCAAAAGAAAAACGTTAATAAAACGGCTCTTGCCAAGGGCAATCCAAAAACCGGTCTTGCGGCAAAGAAGCTTCCTCCCATGGTTAAATCTCCACCAAAAAAGGAAATTTCCACTAAGACAAAAGGCGTGGCCCAAAACAAGGCAACACCACTTCATAGGGATCGTAATCCTCAAAACAAGGTCACCAGTCATCAAACACTAGTCTCCTCTGGTAAACAGGCCCATCTGCAAGCAGTAGGCAACTCGCCAAAAGAATTCGCTGCTCAAAAAGGACTTTCTCAAAAGAAGGTTCCGATCCAGAACAAAGCCCTTAACAAAAAAGATACTAATCAGTAGAAAGACATCTCTCGTCCAAGACAAGCAATTCTACAGAAAGAAAACCACTCGCCAAAGGAAAACTCACCGAAAAATAAAGACCTTCCTAACGTAAAGACCCCTCTCCACGAGAACGTCGAGTCACAAAATAACGTTCATAATCAAAAGCAACCTCACGACTGGAAAGACGGCTCTCATGAAAAAGAACTGCTCGCAAATAGAAATATCATTTCTCCCAAAAAAGTCCTACCACAAAAGAAACACGTTGATCACCCAAAACAAACCTATAAACAGACAAGCCAAAAACAAGCCCATCCACAACAAAAGATTGTTTCCCCCAAAAAAGTCCAGCTTCAGCATTAAGAAGCCTGTTCCGAAGGAAAAAAGACCCCCTCAAATAAGACTGCCGCGCAAAAGAAGACTTCAACGTAAAGGAGGGACGGAAATTGTGGCCCAAACGCTGGAGTAAGTTACATTACCCGAATAGCATGTCCCTCGAATAAGGAGAATTTACCCTTCAAAGGAAAATTCTTCCAAAACTTAAACACTAAAATATAAACATATCCTTCGCCGAAAAAGGCTGAGGCTTCTCTTTATGAGGTAAAAATAGGCCTGTCAGGTATATAAGACTACATTTTGCAATTAACAACTCATTTCTTTTGTTCTACAACATGTCATTTAATTAGGTGAGTCCTTGCCTTGATCTTTATTTTATAAGACAATAAAATAATTATTTATAACACAGAGTGGTACTTTTTACTCATAAAAAAATGCCCTTTCTAGCATTCTTAGGGGCAATTTTACTGATCGCCCCAAGTAAACAGGGAATGCAAGCCAGTCTTGGATTCTGGATTCCACGTCGTAGATTCCGTATTACAGGTCTGACTGGATTCCAGTCTTAGTGGAACTTGGATTCTGGATTCCCGTAGTTAATGGGATTCCGGATTCCTTGCTTTGTATTCGGGATTCCAAATCCCAGGATTCCGGATTCTACAAACAAAATTTTCCCAGATTCCGAAATCCGGATTCCCTTACGTGGGGCGATACTGAGAAGTGTTTTGATTTGCTGAAACTCAAGGGAATCCTTTCTATCACAAAAAAGAAAATGAGAAACAGAGGAAAAATCAATAGTTGTTGAGGCGTGTCCGATTTTTACAAATATGTTGTAGCTGAGTTCATTCTAGACTACGAGGAGTCCCCATTTTTCCTCAGGGATAGTAGAGCAGCGAGACGCGAGCGCGCGTGAAAATCACCCCACGCGAGAAAGGTGCCTTTCCTCGCATGGGGTGATTTTCACGCGCTAGCGTTTCGCTCGCTCTACTATCCCTGAGGAAAAATGGGGACTCCTCGTAGTCTAAGTTCATGCTGATATTGATATATACTGGCCGTTTTCCTTTTCTGAGCTTTGTGTTAAACGGGACCCACGCGTAGTATTCACCGCAGGAATTTTTCAGTCTCGAAATATATGGAGGATAGATATGGATACTATGTTCGATTGAAAACCCCTCAACCCTCACAGATTCGCCTCAGCAGGAGCTCCTGGCCTATAGTAACAAGTGAACGGCATAATTAGGAAGTAGCGTTGCGTGACGACACAAAAAAGTGTCATTACTTTTCATTATCTCGGTCCATTTCCCTATAAAGCACTCTAAAAAAGAGAACTCAGCCTACATTCAGCCATTTTGAACTAAGGGGTGGAAAAAACTTTAGGTATGGACGTTGCACCAGAAGGGGGGAGATCGAGCTTTTTCGTCCCCCTCTTTTCCCCTCTTCTCCAACTCCCTACCCGTCCGGCCCGTTCAAAAAATGGCTGAGCGAAGCTTAGCAAAGCGGAGTCTGGGGTGAGGAAGAAACCAAAATGGCGGCCAGTTGGCGGCCAGCAGAAAACATGGCCTTCTTTGGAATCACATAGTACATGCTTTTGATGTACCGTACATCGTATTTTTAAGCGCATGGCTTATTTACTTATATCTAAAGGGATGGCTACCGCTTGAAAAGTCTGAAGAGCTCTGGCATGTTACAAGGGAACTGTCATCCACATTTTGGTAGGTAAATGAAGTTTAATTTTGATCTGACAGTCAATCTGCAGCTAGTTAAAGATACTCTTTCTACCATGTGTGTGTTGAGGTGAGCTAGGTTGACGAGGAGAGGGGTAGTGATCAGATCTTTGGAAGCTGGCCACTCTATAAATAATAGTGATCTTACGCAAGATGACTTAGAAGGAGAGATTTCGGAAACCTTGTTTGACAAGCGTGACAATAATTTTGTTGGAAATTTCACATTCCTTTAAATAGGTGTTTTTGTAAAAGACAGAACACAGTTATATTAAGTGAAGATCACAACAAAAGACACAAGTAATAACCCTCTCACGTTTGTCACACGTTTTGCGCTGCATTGTTGTAGCTACAGTTTCAGACAAAAATAGTTGGGACACTTTCGTCGAATGCTGTTTTTCTCTTCTTCCCCATCTCCTTGACTCCCAGTGTTGTTCTTTGGAGTTAACTGACCATTGGGAAGGCAAGAAGACAGTAAAGTGCCTCAACAATTTTTACTGAGACTGTAGGATGAGGTACTAGTCTGTAAGCAAGCGCTCTCGACTTAAGAGGCAATGGTGGAAGGTGGGAGGTGGGGAAGGCAATAGTCAAGGCTGTGCTGAGAGAAAAATTTTAGCAAGCCCCAGGAGCTCTGGCCTATGAAATCCGGACTGCCCAGAGTTTTGTCACCCATGGGCAAATTTAAGTAAGTTGACTTCGGCCATAGGTAATTGTTGTAAGAGTACAGACCTGATAGTAAACAGTAATAATAATAATTATTGTTTGAGGGTTATTTTTTGTGTTATCCAAAACAATCAAGGTAAAGGTAGGCTGATAACACTTTACCAAAACCTTGATTATTGCAAATACTGTGGAACCTCTCCTTTGGGATACCTCTATTCAGGGGACACCTCCATTCAAGAGACACAAAATTTGGTGCTGGAAAAATGCCCACATAATCTTTGTATCTGTTACCAGTATTGAAGGGACATCTCTATTCAGGGGAAAGCAGGGTTGTGAAAATGCGCTGGTGACTGGTGCTATCGCCGGCTACTTTGAGGTTTCCGGCTGTAAATTGTTGGAGAAAAGTGAAAAAATGGGCGATTAAAAAAGTTGTAAAATAAAAAATGAAAAAAGAAAGAGAAATTGCGTTTGAAATCAAATGAAATGCAATGCAAAGTGAGTACTTACCTTATATAAAATTGGCTGACAAAGATAGTGCATTCAAAAACATTGCTTTTAAAATAACATTGCAGATCACTGATTATTTCTCTCATTCATGAAAAATTGTTATCAGCTTCTCCTGAAATATGTCCAGATGTCATGTCACTTAACTTAATCACTTCATCGAAACAACTGAGTGTTGCAATGAAGTGAAAACGAATCCTTCATAAATGTGCATCTGAAATGACAGTTTTGAAACTGAAACTAATATGTGTAATTAAATGTAGTTTGCTGTAATATTATAATTTGTCACATGAGTAGAACATCATTTTAGTTTTTTCTGTGGGTTGATGCTAATGAAAGAGACCGGTATGCTACATAAACAGACATGGGATTTGTTATAAACCAAGAAAAGTTGTCTGAAACTTTATTCTCATAGAGAAGATCCCCCTCAGAAAAGTATTTCTAATTTTGCATAAAAGTGTAAATTGCACAGGTGATGATAATGCAATGTGTTCCCCTTTCTGAGAAACAAATATCCCTAGTGATATGTGTTCCCCTACCTGGATAACACATATCCCTAGTGCTATTTCTTCCCCTACCTGAGAAACACATATCCCTGGTGATATGTGGTTCCCTACCTAGGAAACACATTTTCGTAGTAATATGTGATCCCCTACCTGGAAAACACATATCCCTAGTGATATGTGTTACCCTACCTGGCAAACACATATCCCTAGTAATATGTGATCCCCTACCTGGGAAACACATATCCCTAGTGATATGTGTTCCCCTACTTGGGAAACACATATCCCTAGTGCTATTTCTTCCCCTGCCTAGGAAACACATATCCCTGGTGATATGTGGTTCCCTACCGAGGAAACACATTTTCGTAGTAATATGTGATCCCCTACCAGGGAAACACATATCCCTAGTGATATGTGTTACCCTAACAGGCAAACACATATCCCTAGTAATATGTGATCCCCTACCTGGGAAACACATATCCCTAGTGATATGTGTTCCCCTACTTGGGAAACACATATCCCTAGTGATTTGTAATCCCCTACCTGGGAAACAAATATCCATAGTGATATGTGTTCTCCTACCTGAAAACCCCATATCCCTAGTGATTTGTGTTCCCCTTCCTGGGAAACACATATCCCTTGTGATATTTGTTCCCCTACCTGGAAAACATATATCCCGAGTGATATGTGTACCCCTACCTGGAAAACACATATCCCTAGTCATTTGTGTTCCCCTTTCTGGAAAACACATATCCCTAGTGATATCTGTTCCTCTACCTGGGAAACACATATCCCTAGTGATATGAGTTCCCCTACCTGGAAAACACACATTCCGAGTAATATCTGTTCCCCTACCGGGGAAACACTCTTCCCTAGTGATATGTGTTCCCTTACCTGGGAAACACATATGCCTAGTGATACATGTTCCCCTACCTAGGAAACACATATCCCTAGTGCTATGTGTTCCCCTACCCAGGAAACCCATATCCCTAGTGATATGTGTTCCCTTACTCAGGAAACACATATCCCTAGTAATGTGTGTTCACCTACCTAGGAAACACATATCCCTAGTGACTGGTGTTCCCCTACCTGGGAAAAACATATCCCTAGTGATTGATGTTCCCCTACCTGGGAAACGCATATCCCTAGTGATATGTGTTCCCCTACCTAGGAAACACATATCCCTAGTGATATGTTTCCCCACCTGGGAAACACATATCCCAAGTGATTTGTGTTCCCCTACCTGGGAAATACATATCTCTAGTGATATGTGGTCTGTTACCTGGCAAAAATATAT